TATCTAAATGAATGAAGGAACTGAATGCAGCAGACTTATGCAAAAGATCACATGAGAGAAGGAAATCTGATAGACCTTGATTAGAAAAATAGACTAGAAATTTAGAATGGGAGGAAGGAAAGATTGAGTGTGGTTATAGTAGCTCATATTTCAATGTGTTCTATATTTAAATTTTTTATTTATCTTCTAACCACCTCCTTTGAAGCCATTTGGATATTACACATAAGTCACACAAAATTGTTTTTTTCTGCATGTCTTAAGTGAGTAAAATTCAGCATAGTTTATTGATAGGACACTGTTCTCATCTGCATCGTGATCTGTGACTTTCTCAGCCAAATCCCACTTTTCTTTCCTCAGCTTTCTCACCAAAAACATCCTCTCTTCTCCTTTCTCTCTAGCAAGACTGCAAACACAGAGCCTCCAGCTTTGAAGGGCACCTACTCTGGCTCTCAGTCTCCATGTTCACTCAACATAGACTCTGACACCATGGCCACTTCTTCTCCAACTTCAAGAAAAATGGGAGTGTCCACACTCCCAGTGAGAAGGGCCCAGACTCCTATTGAAATACGATTTTGTAAAACACACCAGTTACATTGTTTATACAACCTCTACCACCACCTCTCAGAATTATAATCTTTTGAATGCTCTGTGTCTTGCTTTTGTGCTTCTTCTACTTTGAAGGCTCAACACTAAATAGGTACTGGATTTAATAATTAGAAAACTGGGAATTACTTGCAGGAATTTCTGCTATGAAAATAATGGGCCATGCAAACAAAGATTATGTAGAAGAATGTTGATTACTCAAAATAGTAAAAAACTTGAAGCAATCTAAATGTCCCACAGCAGAGCCATGAGTCGCCGGTGATGGCGTAGGCTGCAGTGGAGCTGCAGTGGGCTCCTGTAAGCAACTGTGAGCGGCTGGCAGCTGGCGTGAGCTGCCAAGAGCCTCTGTGAGCGGCCGTCCAGTGGCCGCCGGCCCATCTGCCTCATCTGGGAAGAGCACAATAATACCAACATGGGCCTTTGAAGTGACGTCCTCCACAACTAGACTGAAGAACAAAAGGGCAGCAACTTGTCTGTTCCCCTTCCCCAATTCCCTAATGCTGTTCCCCTCCCCCAATTCCCCAATAAAAAATAAAAATAAATAAATCAATAAATAAAAAATAAATGTCTCGCAGCAGAGAATTTCTTTTAAAAAAAGTTCATTTGTATTATGCAGTAATCTAAAATTTGTGATGTAAATGTATAGATATTTATATACAAAGATGTTTATAAGGTATTAAGTAACAAAAACTAGTTATAAATCAATAGATTATATAATATGATACACACACATATACATACACACACATACATACAAACAGAAAAAAAATTAAGAATATATACCAACAGGTTAATAAAGGTAGAGTGATTTTTAAAATTTTGTTAATCTATCTATAGTTTTTGTTTTTATATAATGAGCCTGCATATTTACTTAAATTTTAAAAGAGTTAAGAAAGCTGTATATAAAAGCAAAAAAAAAAAAACCACAGTGAATCCTAGTAAGGGACCTCAATAAATAAAGTACATGAGTTTTAGTATAAATATACAACCAAAAGTTATCAAAACATAGAACTCAAGAAAAGAGAATGCAGGTAGAGTTGGATCCTTTGTTGTTGTTCAGTGTAGCCTTAGGAAAGCCAAGGAAAGCTTAATCAAAATGTACCAGGATCTTGGGGACAGCTGAGTTGTGGGTGAGAGGCTAACAACATGTCTTGCAAAGTTATGCTGTTATTTGTAGCTCTGTGAATAGAGAAAGGAGTATGAAGAGCTTCTGCTGTGCATGCAGGTTGCTCCATGGGCGTACCAAACTAAGACTACGAAAACAAGTTCTAATCTAAATCATGCCAGTTACTCTCTATCCATGGCCACACTTGGAACTAGGAGTTAACATACACTACTCCATCCAGTAACTGAAGATCAGGTAGAAAGTCAAGATTTCAGTCTTCATTTCAGAGGAATCAGCCCATTAGTGCATCAGTGAGAGAAATAAAGACATCTCTGTTAAAGCTTTAACCTAGGAAATAAACAGCACTTGGTCAGGTTTTCTTTCCAAATTGGAATTGTGCTTACGTTGCAAAGTCATTAGCAGCAGCAGTGGCAGCGGCAGCTCTTTGAAAAACCTCTTCTTTGGCATCTAGGAGTTGACTCACTGTGGTTACAGCAACTAATTTTGCCTGCCAGGAAGAAGCCACCAATCGTTATAGAGGACATATATCATGACCACCATTAGCATTATTATGATACCGAGCGGTACTATTGGTATGGTGGTAATCTAGAGGCACGTGTTTTTCAGAATTAAAAGCTTAGTTTTCTTATCTACATAAGATGGCAGAGAGAATAAAAATAAGGCACAGTGAATATATAAATTGAGGTAGTCAATTAGACAGCGTGTCTCTGAATATGACCTCATAGCAAGGTCTTTCACAGAACCTCTACCCCACCCCCCAAGAACACAAAAACAGATGGGTGGATACAAAAGCAAAAGCAAAATAAGATGAGTACAGGGCTCTGATTCTCAAAACGTTACAGACCACAATACTTAATATAATTTATTAATTATACTTAACTATTAGACTTAATAAAATTATTTCTAGTTTTCTTGTAATTAAAAAATCAGGAGTACATCAGAAAGGATCTCTTGTCATTTGGTTACTGTTTTACTGCCCTCTTTTGGGGTATTGATA